CCCTCGCAAATCGGCTTTTAAACTAATTATGATTCGTTGAAAACAGTTTCATTCTTCTTGTACATTTTAGCCTGCACGCTGGTCTGCACCTAAAATATTTGACCAATTAGGGATTCTAATAGCTTCAAGTTAAATTAGAAAGAACATTAATAATTAATAATTTGGCGGCATTGGCTAATGTGGAATATATTCTTTAAGGACAAAGCCAGTCTTGATCATTTTGCATACGACTTACATTTTAGTGCTGCCATGCTATGTTAAATACTACCTTTACATGGGCTTTTTAGCTTCCATTTCTCTTGGTCACATTTCGGATAGCAATTAATTGAAAAATCAAAATTATTTTTTTTCAACTCGAAAATGCTTGGATATTTCTCATTTTTTTCTATCGTGTTCACCAAATCGAGAAGGTGAAACGTTAGTTGAAATAAAGGCTGCTCACTTGACATAGAATCAGACCCCAAGTCACAGTAATTCTTTTGATGCCTTATTTGAAACCTATATAAACGAAGGACATATTAATCTGATTTTGTCGTAAATTTGGGGCCATTTTGAATTATGAAGATGAGACTAGACGAGTTACCTTCTAGTAAGCTCTTTAGATCGGATCAAATCATTGACTTACTATTTCAACAGATCGCTTCTTACACTTATTGCTTGCTTGCACCATCAAAATTATATCGAAATTAGTCTTTTAGCTATCATCCGAAGTAGTGAAAACAGTCACTGATATTTCTTAAATTTTCAACCGTTCGTCCAATGTTATATCAATTATACTAATATTTAGTATTTGCTCCCAACTGATCTCATTCTATATCACTTTTGCTCTCATCTGTACAATTATGAAGATCGGACGTCCAATCGCTTTTACTGTTCGTCATCGTGAGTCTGCTGGTCGCCTTGAGGCTTGTGTTCTTTCTCCATCGGGCACTAAGGAGGCAGCTCTAGTGCAGGCAATTGATCGCGACCAATTTGCCGTCCGTTTTCTACCTCGAGAACCTGGACCCCATCTGATCCACGTTTGGCTTGCCAATGTGGGACTGGGAACTGATGATCGCCTCGGCGATGGTGGTTCTAGTAATGGGCTTGGTTCAGGACCTGGTCAAGGAGCAGATATTCCTGGCTCCCCATTCCGTATTCTTGTCGATCGTGGTTCAGTAATCGGTTCCGGGCCGGGATCAGGTACAGGACGTGCCAGTACACCCGCCGATCCAAGCATGGTGAATGCCAGCGGACAGGGGCTAGTGCAAGCCACAGTCGGTAAGCATCTGATATGCGGGAAAGCAAATAAGCGGATCATGCAAAATTTAGAAAATTAGATGCCTTATAAAAGAGCTCTGATTACTTTGTCTATACTATTAAATATGAGAAAAGAGTCATCTACCATTCACTCAGAACTTGCCTGACAAGGCACTTACGAACATAATCTTTTCTAGATTCCACGGAGAACTCTTCTGAATAGAGGCTGATCTTTCGAAGCAGTCTCCTGCAATCCTTGTTTTGCCATAAACTTAATGAGGATAGTATAACTTTGTTCACAAAGGTTTCTTCAAACAAGTAATTTAGTTTATCACCATGGTTGATTGCAAAATATCATATTTTAGTTTAAGATTTTCCTTCTCTAATGAGGCATTGCAAAAGTTCTTACCTTAAAGCTCAAATGTTTTTAAGTATCGGGATAGTTCATGTTCCTTATTGCCACTTTATTCAAATAATGTTGCTAAAATTAAAGTTGTTTGACCTTGTTTTCGCAACATGGTCATATTGGTAGGAAGACTTATTGGAAAGCACCTAGTCCGGGGTCCAGTGTCTGTATGATCATTTCCAAAGTTGGTCTTCTTACCAATGTTGCTAAAAATTTATCCCCGACGTCGAATAAAGTTCATATTAACATTTACTAAGTTTCTAGCAGTGCTCTATAAAATGAGGTTAAAAAAAGAATTTTTTAAGATATGAGTAAAATCTAGGTTTCGAAGAATTCCTTAGTGCTATATTGTTACAGAAATTTTCCAAGGGAAAGTTGGTAGGAAGGGATTCGTGATGTGGTCGCCCAATTGGTCTCACCAGCACTCAGCGGGATTCAAACCCATGTTTTGGCGATACTGCTATTCTCCTCCACTACACGAAAATGGGCACCAGTGGTTCACAGAACAGATGAGACATTTGGGGATTGCCATTGTGAGATCTGGTTGCCATTGCAACCGACGACGTTACTTATTTTGATATAACTAATTTTAGAGATAAGCCGTAATTCTTTAATAATTGTGACATGATTCTCCATTTCGAAGGAAATGTTGGTAGGAAGGAATTTGTGATGCGTTCTCACCGGAAACCGAATGAGGATTGCCGTGTAGGGAAGACTGTTGAATTGCGCGAAGAAGTCCTTGACTCACCGTCCTACAACTCCGACGAAACTATGCTAAGCTTTCGTCTGTACTGCTGTGAAGGATATTATCAGAGCAAGAATCCGTACTTCAAGCAATTGAGCAAAAGGTGGCCGGCTGTCACCCTAATCGCTTTTTAATTCGCCCAACTCCGCTATCTTAATTAAGCATCCCATGATTTGGTTGGCTACTTCAGCCTTACTCTATATGCTTGCAAATGGATGAAGTTACTTTCCGAACCGGAAGTGTGTTCGATGGCAACTGCTTCCTTACACAAATAAACAAGTGTACGATCCTCTAATATTGAATCATATTTGGGCTTACGAAATTGTATGCTGTCTGTGATGCTAATGTCATGGGGAGTGTGATAGTACTAGCTAGATTCGTGGATATCCAGCCTTCTTGTTCATTGTCTCTTCCTGAACTCCCTCTTTCTCCTTCTCCTTAAGCCTATCCAGCTACCACACATAGTTCCTACTCAATTTCTTCACTTGTTTCTTTTATCTAGGACGTTGTGTGTTTTATTAATTTCTAAATCTTACGCTATTTATGTGAAGTCCCCGTAGCCCACCTAACGTTATGTTTTGAGCCAGTCTATTGAGTTTCCTGTATTGGCCCTGTAATCGGCGAGCTCAGATTTTTGAATCTATGGACCTTCACAAGCGGTTTTGTGTTCACATAATCTTCTGGATGGATCTGCAAGTCTTACCCACATAGATCTTACCATATGAGCATAAAACCTTGTAGCAGCATGATATAGAAAGAGAGTCTGAAAATTCTCTAAACAAACGAATTACTAAAAAAATTTTAATTTCTCTTTATACACTGTTTTTATGTTCCACTTCCTCAGTAGATCACCCAACTTTTTTGCAAGCTGATAGGAAGGCCAATTCAGGAAACGAGTAGAAAGACCCATTTGTCTATCTCGCCACAGATAAAAGACTCTCCTCATCTTGTTACTGACAATTTTTATGTTATCTTCTACTGATCATAATGGGTAGTTGTTTTTAAGCAGTATATGCTTTAATCTAGCCATCTCCCAGTTCCTGCGATTTACATCTGCTTGACGCAGACTCCTTATTATCATAAACCTCATAACTTCTATTTTGACTCTATAATGCATGGTTGGAGAAGAAATTAATTAGGAAACTTGCATGTATTTATTTTCCGAAGAAGTTTTGGGACAGATTTACCACTTTTGAGCAGTGGCTTTCCCCACCATTCAATTCATTAGGTATGGGTCGTTTCCTTTAGTTACTTCTTATGCCCAAATTTCTTAATTTTTTATCATGTGTCTTTCTAACCTGTCGTAAAACTTTGGCATGTAAACTATCCGCTATACTCTAGAGTTTAAGGAAGCCTCCAAACTAGGAGCCTGAGATAAGATTTGCCTAATACTAGTCTTAGTTCTATTTAAGGAGTGTAGCTCCGCAATGTTTACTCAAAGTCTAATATCAAACAAATTATGGTATATGTCCAAAATATCATTCTTACAAAGTAAATTAAGACTAGAAATAATACAAAATCTAGGTACACTTTTACAAGTAGAGGAAACCTTCAAAAAACGAATGTGATTGATTTTCCTGGCCAACAATTAGTTGGTTATTGTATATAATAACGAATTCCGAGAAAAAAACAATCCTACGTACTTTGAAGATAAGAAGAAAATTTTGGGTTTCGAAGAATACCTTAGTGATATATTGTGGCATTACTCTCCATTTAAGTGGGAAGGTTGGTATTAAGGAATTCGTGATGTGGCCTCTCCTGGAAACTGAAGGGGGATTGCGGCATAT